GGCCTGGACGGGAGGCCGGGAGGCCGCAACTGGGCCTGGTGGGGCTGGCCTGAGGAAGTTCGGGGCCTGGAGAGATCGCCAAGAGGCACAGGCTGGGCCTGGAAAGGCCGTTCCCCGTGACGAATGAGCCGGGCCGAACGAGGCCCCTGGGAGACAGGAGCCGGGCCTGCCGGAGCTCCTGAAAGGCAGGAGGAGCTCTGGCCTGGGGAGGCCGCAGTCAGGCGAGAGCTGGGCGTGGAGAGTCCGCTGGGAGGCAGAGGCTGGGCCTGCGCAGGCCTTCGGGAGGCAGGAGGCTGGGCCTGGCGAGGCCGACTGGAGGTCCCGCAGCCGGGAGCAGGAGGAGCTGGGCCTGGAGGAGAGGCCGGGAGGCCGCAACTGGGCCTGGAGGGGCCGGCCTGAGGAAGTTCAGGGCCTGGAGAGGCCGCCGAAAGGCACTGGCTGGGCCTGGAAAGGCCGTTCCGCGTGACGAATGAGCCGGGCCTAACGAGGCCACTGGGAGACAGGAGCGGGGCGCGGCGGAGCTGCCGAAAGGCAAGAGGAGCTCTGGCCTGGGGAGGCCGCAGTCAGGCGAGAGCTGGGCGTGGAGAGTCCGTTGAGAGACAGAGGCTGGGCCTGTACAGGCCTTCGGGAGGCAGGAGGCTGGACCTGGCGAGGCCGAACGGAGGTCAAGTCCTGGGCCTGAGGAGCCCGCCCAGAGGCGTGAGCGGGGCTGGGCCTCAAGAGGCCAGTGGCAGGCAGGAGGAGCGAGCGAGCCCTGGAGAGGCCGAGACTCGAGGCCAGCGTGGGCCTGCAGAGGCCGCCGGCAGGAGGAGCTGGGCCTGGAGAGGCCGCAACTGGGCCTGGAGGGGCCGGCCTGAGGAAGTTCAGGGCCTGGAGAGGCCGCCAAAAGGCACAGGCTGGGCCTGCAAAGGCCGTTCCCCGTGACGAATGAGCCGGGCCTAACGAGGGGGCTGGGCCCGCGGCCGCAGCCGGGAGCAGGAGGAGCTGGGCCTCAAGAGGAGGCGTGAGCGGGGCCCGGCGTGCTGCCAAAAGGCAGGAGGAGCTCTGGCCTGGGGAGGCCGCAGTCAGGCCAGAGCTGGGCGTGGAGAGTCCGCTGGGAGGCAGAGGCTGGGCCTGTGCAGGCCTTCGGGAGGCTGGGAGGCAGGAGCTGGGCCCGGCGGAGCTGCCGAAAGGCACGGAGAGGCAGGAGCCGGGCCCGGAGAGGCCACCGTGGGGCCCGGCTTCAGGACGTTTGGGGCCTCCAAAGGCCGCGGAGCGGGAGCTGGGAGGCACAGGCTGGGCCTGGAAAGGCCGGGAGTTGTGCCTCAGCCGAGTCCAAAGAGGCTGTCGTGAGGCCGAGACTCGGGGCCTGGAGAGGCCGCCGAAAGGCACAGGCTGGGCCTGGAAAGGCCGTTCCCACCGTGGGGCCCGGCTTCAGGACGCGGGAGCAGGAGGAGCTGGGCCTGGACGGGAGGCCGGGAGGCCGGGAGGAGGCCGCAACTGGGCCTGGAGGGGCCGGCCTGAGGAAGTTCGAGCCCGGCTTCAGGACGTTTGGGGCCTCCAAAGGCCGCGGAGCGGGAGCTGGGCCCGGAGCCGAGTCCAAAGAGGTTGTCGTGAGGCCGGGGCTGGGCCCGCGGACGCAGCCGGGGGGCCTGCAGGGGCCGCCGGCAGGCAGGAGGCTGGGCCTGGAGAGGCCGACTGGAGGACCTGAGGAAGTCTGGCAGCTGGAGAGGCCGCGGAGAGGCAGAGGCTGGGCCGGCGGAGGCGGCCTGGAAAGGCCGTTCCCCGTGACGAATGAGCCGGGCCTAACGAGGCCACTGGGAGGCAGGAGCGGGGCCCGGCGGAGCTGCCGAAAGGAGTCCAAAGAGGTTGTCGTGAGGTCGGTGCTGGACCCGCGGCCGCAGCCGGGAGCAGGAGGAGCTGGGCCTGGACGGGAGGCTGGGAGGCTGCAACGGGGCCTGCAGGGGACAGCCTGAGGAAGTTCGGGGCCTGGAGAGGCCGCCAAAAGGCACAGGCTGGGCCTGGAAAGGCCGTTCCCCGTGACGAATGAGCCGGGCCTAACGAGGCCACTGGGAGGCAGGAGCGGGGCCCGGCGGAGCTGCCGAAAGGCAGGAGGAGCTCTGGCCTGGGGAGGCCGCAGTTAGGCGAGAGCTGGGCGTGGAGAGTCCGCTGTGAGGCCCAGGCTGGGCCTGTGCAGGCCTTCAGGAGGCTGGAGGCTGGACATGGCGAGGCCGACTGGAGGTGAAGTCCTGGGCCTGAGGAGGCCGCCCAGAGTCGTGAGCGGGGCTGGGCCTCAAGAGGCCAGTGGCATGCAGGAGGAGCTGGGCCTGGAGAGGCTGACCTGAGGAAGTCTGGCAGCTGGGGAGGCAGAGGCTGGGCCTGTGCAGGCCTTCGGGAGGCAGGAGGCTGGGACTGGCGAGGCCACTGGAGGTCAAGTCCTGGGCCTGAGGAGGCCGCCCAGAGGCGTGAGCGGGGCTGGGCCTCAAGAGGCCAGTGGGAGGCAGGAGGAGCTGGGCCTGGAGAGGCTGACCTGAGGAAGTCTGGCAGCTGGGAGGCCGCGGAGAGGTAGGAGCTGGGCCGGCGGAGGCCGACTGGGCGACGACTTTGGCCCGCAGGAGCCGCCGGGAGCAGGAGCGAGCCCTGGAGAGGCCGAGACTCGAGGCCAGCGTGGGCCTGCAGATGCCGCCGGCAGGAGGAGCTGGGCCTGGAGAGCCTGGCTGGAGGAAGTCTGGGGTGTGGAGACGCCGTCGGAGGTCAGGAGCCGGGCCCGGAGAGGCCACCGTGGGGCCCGGCTTCAGGACGTTTGGGGCCTACAAATGCAACGGAGCAAGAGCTGGGCCGGAGCCGAGTCTAAAGTGGTTGTCGTGAGGCCGCGGCCGGGCCCGCGGCCGCAGCCAGGAGCAGGAGGAGCTGGGCCTGGAGGAGAGGCCGGGAGGCCGCAACTGTGCCTGGACGGGAGGCCGGGAGGCCACAACTGGGCCTGGAGGGGCCGTCCTGAGGAAGTTCGGGTCCTGGAGAGGCCGCCAAAAGGCACAGCCTGGGCCTGGAAAGGCCGTTCCCCGTGACGAATGAGCCGGGCCTAACGAGGCAACTGGGAGGCAGGAGCGGGGCCCGGCGGACCTGCCGAAAGGCAGGAGGACCTCTGGCCTGGGGAGGCCGCAGTCAGGGGAGAGCTGGGCGTGGAGAGTCCGCTGGGAGGCAGAGGCTGGGACTGTGCAGGCCTTCGGGAGGCAAGAGGGTGGTCCTGGCGAGGCCGAGTGGAAGACAAATCCTGGACCTGAGGTGGCCGTCCAGAGGCGTGAGCGGGGCAGGGACTCAAGAGGCCAGTGGCAGGCAGTAGGAATTGGGCCTGGAAAGGCTGACCTGAGGAAGTCTGGCAGCTGGGGAGGCTACGGAGAGGCAGGAGCTGGGCCGGCGGAGGACGACTGGGCGACGAGTTGGGCCCGCAGGGGCCGCCGGGAGCAGGAGGGAGCCCTGGAGATGCCGAGACTCGAGGCCAGAGTGGGCCTGCAGAGTCCGCCGGCAGGAGGAGATGGGCCTCGAGAGGCTGGCTGGAGGAAGTCTGGGCACGTGGAGACGCCGTCGGAGGGCAGGAGCCGGGCCCGGAGAGGCCACCGTGGGGC